GTAGCATATTGAGGAGGCAATGTATGAGTTACGACTCCGCGTTATAAACAACCCGGTGACCTACATAGGAAGCAATTATATGGTTGCTGACACTATTTTCACGGAGCACATCAAGTGGTGGGAAAAATCATGTGACTTGTCAACTCTGGGAGCTCTGAAGCCATACTTCGAAGGAAGCCTTCCAATTGGGTGTGCAGGAACGCCTTTGAACACTTACAATGGCTTTGTAAGTGTACTTAACATTCCACCCCTTTCAGAAGATCAAATCAGTTGCCATTGGAACGCCATTCTGGTGGATTTCAATGAGAAATTGCTCCAAGTTTTTTACTGCCAACCGAGACTAAGGGTCAATGTGGAGAGTGTAGTTCAGAAACTAAGTCGTCTTATTCCCAAGGCTTGTCTCCTTGCTGGGTCAGAATCTTTCTCTGATGGAGAGGAACTGAAGATTGAGTATGTAGAGGGACTACCTGAGAATGCTAAAGATTCTGACTGCGGTGTTTTTGCTGCGAAGTATGTTGATGCGATATGCCTAGGGAATGACTGCGGTGTTTTTGCTGCGAAGTATGTCGATGCGATATGCCTTGGGAAAGAAAAAACGTTGTGCCCAATGATCTGTGATGCCAACATCTCCATGATCCGTGAGGGGTGCCCCCCCGCCATATTTGCAAATGGCCAAGTTCAGAAGAAGTAGGACTGACTATGTTTTATTTCACCTAAATATGACCTTGCTTTGTTTTTTTATTATACTATGTTATGAACTTCTTTAATTATATGTCTGAACTTCTTTAATTACAACATCTACAAAATCTAGATATAAAATGTGTTCCACAAGAGTTAGAGGTACAAAAATTAATTGGCATGAAAATGTTGGAGGGAAAAGAGATTTGGCTTACAAAATTAATGAGATTATGGGTCCCATCGAAAATCTAGGGTTGAATTGTCAACCGTAACAATTCTGAACACTTGGATGTTATTGGATCCCACAAAAATTGTGCAATTTCAAAATTGGGTCCCACATATTTTCGGTCACATGGGATCATAGTTGGTCACATATGGTCACAAGGGTCGAATTTATCGATTCTTTCAATTGAATCGATACGAATGTTGTCACATGTTCCACATAAACACCTAGTTACTATATTCAAGTGTTAAAATAGATTATTACGAATTCTGCATGTAAAAGTAGTCTTCCCATATGTGTTCCACAAATGTTCATAGTCATTTATGAAGGATTTTGACATTTTTGGTGGTTTTGTATTACAACCTACTTATAATGTTTTGTAAAATTCTCAACAATACTATATTTATGATCCTTATATCTTGTTATAACATACCACAGTCTAAAAAACACCTTAAACCCTATATTTACCTTTGTCACTTGGTCACAGGTCACATCCGGTCACAATGGTCACATAGTGCAAAATTGACTTTGGTCACATGCTGGTCACAATGGGTCACAATCGGTAGTCATATGAGATGGAATTATTTAATGTTTTTTAATATGTTTACACACACAAAAGTAAATGGAATACAGTAAAACAATATCAAATTACATGAAATACAATACAACATTATTATACAATTTTTGTCTTTTCTTTCATTCAAAATTAAGTGTACTCTCACACATTGCTGATGATGATGCTCCTGTCATGACATGGATCCGCTTCCGGGATTCACCAGGACCTGGGTAGCGATTTTGTTTCGGCCTCCCACTTTTTCGTTTCTCTTCCATTATAGGAGGTAAAACCACACAGTTTGCAACATCTGGGTCATCGATGCTCCATTCACAACAATCGGAGATCGGATACACAGTTGTTTCATAAGCATGACCCCATGATTCACGCAGATAATAAGGAGAACACAAGTCCGGTATCATATTTGCTTTCCCAACCTTATGGAGTGCTGCGATTGCGTGACTGCATGGGATCTTATCAATATCAAACACTCTACAACTGCACGATCTATCTCCGATTTTGACCAAGTAATTTCTACCTTTTTCACCGGTCACCTCAAACTCTTCTGTAATAGAGTTCAACACAATTACCTCATACGTACACGCCATCTCGTAACGCTCATGTAGCAGTTTGTCAACATGCGGTCTCAGTTTTTCAGAATCATCGGCACTTCTTGCTTCCACTCGACGCCGATCGAACCATTCCACAGTCTTTGAAAGACATATATCAAGCACGCCTAGCACCGGAAACCTTTTTGCTTTCTTCAAAACAGAGTTGATTGATTCAGCCCCATTTGTAGTCAACAAGTTGTACCTTTCGCGCTTAAATTTACACCTCGCCCATTTCTCGGGATCAAGTTCTTCTCTCTGCATATACTCGGCAACTTTGGGATACCTACAAAAATGAAGACTCATGATCTCAGGATGACATCATCTAGATTAGCCGATTTGGTACTAATGGACAGAGATCACATGGTACCATATGCCATGGTCACATGGTACCCGTCATATGAGATGGACTTATTTAATGTTTTTTAATATGTTTATACACACAAAAGTAAATGGAATACAGTAAAACAAATATCAAATTACATGAAATACAATACAACATTATTATACAATTTTTTGTCTTTTCTTTCATTCAAAATTAAGTGTACTCTCACACATTGCTGATGATGATGCTCCTGTCATGACATGGATCCGCTTCCGGGATTCACCAGGACCTGGGTAGCGATTTTGTTTCGGCCTCCCACTTTTTCGTTTCTCTTCCATTATAGGAGGTAAAACCACACAGTTTGCAACATCTGGGTCATCGATGCTCCATTCACAACAATCGGGGACCGGATACACAGTTGTTTCATAAGCATGACCCCATGATTCACGCAGATAATAAGGAGAACACAAGTCCGGTATCATATTTGCTTTCCCAACCTTATGGAGTGCTGCGATTGCGTGACTGCATGGGATCTTATCAATATCAAACACTCTACAACTGCACGATCTATCTCCGATTTTGACCAAGTATTTTCTACCTTTTTCACCGGTCACCTCAAACTCTTCTGTAATAGAGTTCAACACAATTACCTCATACGTACACGCCATCTCGTAACGCTCATGTAGCAGTTTGTCAACATGCGGTCTCAGTTTTTCAGAATCATCGGCACTTCTTGCTTCCACTCGACGCCGATCGAACCATTCTACAGTCTTTGAAAGACATATATCAAGCACGCCTAGCACCGGAAACCTTTTTGCTTTCTTCAAAATAGAGTTGATTGATTCAGTCCCATTTGTAGTCAACAAGTTGTACCTTTCGCGCTTAAATTTACACCTCGCCCATTTCTCGGGATCAAGTTCTTCTTTCTGCATATACTCGGCAACTTTGGGATACCTACAAAAATGAAGACTCATGGTTTCAGGATGACATCATCTAGATTAGCCAATTTGGTACTAATGGACAGAGATCACATGGTACCATATGCCATGGTCACATGGTACCCGGTGTCATGGTCACATGGTACCCGGTGTCATGGTCACATGGTCACATGTTTCTGATTTGTCTGATTAATAATAATGGTTAGAAAGTTCATACCTGTTCTTCAGATCAATAAATCTCTCTTCAAACTCGTGCAACGTATACGCTTCCGCGCATTTGAAAAACCTTTCTGCGACAGTTTCACCTCTTGAACTCTTTCTTCCCATGCCTCTGTTAACCTTAACTTTCAGATTTTGCGCTATGTGTCTCGCACAAAATCCATGGCCAGCTTCTTTGTACACTTCTCTAACGACCTTTATTATGCTTCTATGTCGATCAGATATCACAACGACATCAGGTCCATCTGGGATTGCATTTATTAATCTTTCCACAATCCACCTCCATGATGCATCTTTTTCTCTATCGATAATACCCCATGCCAATGGATATTGGTGGTGGTCACCATCTTGTGCGGTTGCAACAACTAATGTACCTTTGTACTGGCCTGTAAGAAAGGTTGCATCAATAGCAACCACTTTACGCATGTAATTCCATCCTTTGACCGTTGCACCCAATGCAATGAAGAGGTATTTGAAGCTTCTGCCATCTGTGTCTAACTCCAGACTTACAATTGTCACAGGATTTCTCTTCTGCAACATGTACAACCATCCAGGAAGCTTCCTAAAATGCTCTGCAGGATCACCTCGAATCTCACTTTCAGCTTTGTGCTTCCCCCGTAACGCCGTCAAATATGTTACGGTTGTGCCATACTTTGCTTTTACACGGTCTATTATTTCATGTGCAGAAGGAGTGTTATCAAGTTTACCGGGAAATTCATCCTTCAAATAATCTCTAACCAATTTTTTTGTACCTCTCATACTTTTGCTTGATTCTGAAACGGGTTTGCAACTGTGAATGGGATTGTGTTTTCTTACACTCCAACGCTTCGAGTTTAAGATCAATGCCGTACGCAACCTCCAATTACAGCCGGATCCAGCAAATTTGCATCTTATTTCTCATAACTTCTTATCAGACCTCATCGTAGTATACCTAAAACGAGCCATAGCTGCACCCTTTCGAACATATTCTTGCGCTGCTTCCTTATCGTCAGACTCATGACCAACTGTTATATTTAATCCATCACTGAAAGTGAACACAGAATCATAAAACAAAGAGTCCTCCACAATCTGAAGCTCCAAATCATCACCATTATCATTATCACCACTATCATCATCATCATCATCATCATCATGACAATCAACGCACTCTTTCACCATAACTTCTCTAAGTCCACTTGAATGTTCACTATCAGAAAGATGTATAACTTCTGGCACATTATTACTCCCAACTTTACTCTTAAAATTTGGGCTCAACATAAAACAATCGTCATAGTCTACAACACCTCGTTTCCCATTTCCTCCAACAACACTACCATCCGCAGGAATTATAGCCTCTTCTTCAACGTTTTCTTCAGCATCAGTTTTCATACGTAACTCTCCTATCTCCACATAAAGCATACCTCGCAATCCATTTATTTTATCCAACAAATAAATATGAACGTGCTTGTCATTCCATACGTAAGTCGGCTTTCTGTTCTCCTTGACATTTGGCAAATAACTTAACCTGATCTCCGTTTTATCTTTCTCCACCTTCATCTCAGCACATAACTCTCGAACAAGGTCCACTGTAGGTTACCTCACAGGGGGGCAAAAGAACAGCAATCTTTGATTTTCCATGAACTTTTCTTCCCATTCATATTCTCCGTTTTTATTCAATATCCATCTACCATCATACTGAAAGTATACAATTGTCGATCTCTCATCTTGCCCGTCCATCGTAGCTGTAGAAAGCACAAATACAAAATACATATCAATTCAACTATTCTGGACTATGTGACCATGTGACCATATGAATATAATACCATGTGACCATGTGACCATGTGACCATTATTACCATTCTGGCTATTCTGGACCATGTGACCATGTCACATTGTGACCATGTGAATTCCTCACCCTGTAACCATTTTTACCAATCCTACTATTATGAATCATGTGACCATGTGACCATGCGGCCATGGTACCATGTGACCATGTGAACATAGTCTCATGTGACCATGTTATTATAGTACCATGTGACCATGTAAACATAGTACCATGTGACCATGTGACCATAGTCCCATGTGACTATTGTAATATAGTACCATGTGACCATGTAAACATAGTACCATGTGACCATGTGAAAATAGTACCATATCATTCTTGAAACATATGCCAACCGTTATGCTAATGAGCCGTGACTAACGTCACCATGTCACTTTGTGATCGTGTGACCGTGTGGCCATCTCACCAACTCCTCTCTACTGTGACCCGACATTTGTGTTTAGTGATACTCTAGAAACAACATCTAAAATCCAGATCCGACCCGGATCTATGACTATACTATACTACAAAAGATAAAACTTCAAAACTGTCAACAATTAGAAGAAAAAAGGTAGAAAAAACATCACTGTTCATCATATAAACACCGACAACCATCAATGTGGGTAGAAACGAATAAGATTTTCACATTTTCTTATCTAATTTCAACTTCTTCAACAATTTCCCACTGATTTTGCTTTGATTTCTACCGATTTTGGAGAAAAAATCGCAAGATTGAGATGAGAGAGAAAGTGTAGGAGAGAGAGAGCTCAATGTCGATGAGGGAGAGAGAGACAGGAGAGACACACCGGAAAGAGAGAGGAGAGAGACCCGTTTACCCTAATTTTTGGGGATATTTTTTTAATAAAAAATTAAATACAAAAGGGTATTTTGGTCATTATTTATAGAAGAGGGTATATTAGATGTTGGAATTTTTTTTTAAGGGGAGGGTATGAGTGGAAGTTGATGTAGCACATTGAGTGCAAAACGGAAGTTGCCCCTATCTAATATGGCAGTAAAGTTGATGTAACAACCCACAATTCAAAACAAATATTAAAAAAGAAAAAAAAAAGAGAAAACACATTTCCGTGTTTTCCTCACCCACTCTCCTACCCCATCTCACATCACTCTCTCACGTTATCTTCTTCCCCGCTTATTCTTCTTTTCTTCCTCTTCCTTGGTCGTTCATTTTCTTCTATCATTGCTTCCTCTCCCTCGCTCGCTATTCTCCAATAGAAACTCCAGATAATCCGCTCCTGTAAGTCCCCTAACTTGATGCCAATGGAAAAATGATCAAGAAACAGTAAGCTCAGTCTCTCGTGTCTTTTGTTTTCTTCATATCTTTAATTTTTGTAATTTTATTCTTCATAGAATTATCATTTTTCTCACCTAAAAAGTTATATAGAGGTCATCATGAACAAGTTTTGGATATAGGGTAATAATTTGAATCAACCACAAAAGCTCAAGGAAGCATAGAAACACTCGGGTGAGTGAATCGAGTTCAATTCGAATATTCAGTTTTCATTGATTTTTGGTGATTTCCAACATGTTTGCATTAAATTAATATTTGATTTATATTATGGAATGAATTTTGTGAATTTTAGGTTTTAACATGTTGAATTTTGATGTGTTTTGAATGTTTTTATGAAATCACAAGATTCTTATCGGACCGAATTAATTTCGGTTTGAAACGAGTTGAGAACTGAAATATGAAGAATGTGAAAATAAATAAACAATAATAATAATTTCGAAATAATAATAATATTAATTAAGAATGATAATAATACTAATAATAATAATAATAATTACCATAATAATAATAATATCGAAATAATAGTAATATTAATAATAATGATAACAATATTAATAACCATAATAATAATAATAATAATAATAATAATAATAATAATCTTAGTAGAATAACACTTTTAAATTAATAATAGTATAATAATAATAATGATGATGATAATGATGATAATAATATTAATAACGATAAGGATGATGATATAATAATAATAATAATATAATAATAATAATAATAATGATGATGATGATGATTATAATAATAATAATAATAATAATAATAATAATAATAATAATAATAATAATAATAATAATAATAATAATAATAATAATAATAATAATAATAATAATAATAATAAATCGGTCTGAATGGACCGTTCTTAATAATTCGGAACAAAACTAATCGAAATGCAATGAATCCGAACACGGTCAGGATCGGACCGGATATATTTCAGACCAAACCAAATCTAAAAGTAAGTGCGAAACTACGGGACAACCCGAGCTGGTAATCTGGGCAGACCGAAACCTAATTTGAACAAATTAAAGTTAAAATGGAAAAAAAAAGAGTTTGGGATGATCGTCCAAAGGCAAAAATGTTAATACTCAATTTGACTTCTACAGACCCAGAAGAGCTCTAGAAAGTTTCTACCCATCATCCAATCTGCTATCCACTACTCGCAGCCTGCAAGCATAACTTGAGGTGAGTGAATTCGAGTTTAATTCGGAAGTCTATTGACATGGGGTTTGGGTTTGGAGTGTCCCATGATTAAATGACGTATGATTCATACTTTGAGTGAAATAAGAATTTTTGGTGAATTACCCGTAGCAAATCATGTGTGTTTGTGCGAATTTGGTGGAAAAGATAAAATGTAATAATAAACCGAAAATACGGGTCAGACCAGACCCCACGTAGTCTGAACCCAAAAATGGATAACAGGTAAGCCTAAAAACCCCGGAATGAATCGAACTGGTTATCTGGACGGACTGGGACCAGATAAGTCAAACCGAAGGTACAACTCAGTAATTTAACTGGATAGACCGAAAAGAGATATATAAATGATTATAAGAAAATATATAAATGAATTCAAAAGATTACGTAAACGGAAATGCATGTATAGTAAATAAACTATATAAATGCATGTGACTGGGGTAGTTGGCATGGCATTAACGTTAATTCAAAAAGGGTTTGGATTAATGTTTAGTGCGTGATTGTAGAAACGGACGTTTGTGAACGATTGCACGATGTTTGCGAGATTGCGTCTCATCCATGTGCCATCCGATCCGGGTCGGATGTCACCCATACGGGATATGATTGTGATTGTGGCGATGATATAATCGCGCCAACGTCCGAACGATAGGACGGTTATGGGCATTCCGATGACTTGCGTAGATAGCCGATTGTAGTCGGTACTATTGCATGACGAGGAACATACGGTTCTTGGAACTGCGCCAACGTTTCCGTTAGCACGCCAAAGTTTCGGTTAGCAACGGAGCGGACCCCGGGATATGAGTATCCCGAGGATGAGGCATCACACATACCTGAGATTCGGGTAGATTGGGGTCTCCCGAGGAGGTGGTACGGACTTACTCTGCCAGGTTGGGCCCGAACCTGACAAGTAATTCCGCGGCGGATGGTCGGCAAGGGGGAGTTGCAGTGATTGGCTCTCTTGTTATAGTCGATGGCGTCGGTTGTAGCCGACGTCTGGTGAGCTCCGGTATTGAGAGGTGACATCAATGCCGGAGTAGGGTGACACGCCTAGTATCGAGAGGTGACATCGATGCTAGGGTGGGATGATGTTTTCGGGCGGAGAAAAATATATTTATGTCGGATCCGAGTGGTTGCGGAGTAGACGGATTCCGAGGAGAGAGGCGGTTGTGCTATGCACATGGGGAGTACATTACCTACGCATGGTGTGCGTAGAGACGATTTGACGGACTCTATCCTGCGACTTGTCGTACGGACTTGATTGTGATTGTTGATATGCTTATCATGGATTCCATGTTTTCGATTCCTGTTTATTAGAATATTAGTATATATATGTATTTGTTTTCCGTGGTTCCATGAGAATAGAACTCCGGGTTACGCCCGAGTTCACTCTCTAAGCAACCAGCTTAGGACGTTGTTATGCAATGTTTCAGGAATGAAGCACTGTTAGGAGATCGTGATGGATACGACGAGTGGACGACGTGTGGAGCTGACATAATTAGATTTTGTATATTTCTGTAGGAGGAAACGATGGTAGGGTTTTTCACAGATCTGTATTTCGGATTTTGACTAATACCTATTGTAGGTAGATAATTTTTATATATTATATATTTCCGCTGCAAAGATTCTAAATGAATCGCGATTTAAATTCCCGCGGATTTTTGGAATTGTGTTTTATTTTAGTTGTCCATGTGACACAACTCGTATTGCGGGATACAGGTTACGGGTGTCACAGTTGAAGACTATGGAGATGTATGTTAGTGAAACATTTTTGGTCCAATTCATCATTAACTCTCTGCCTGATGAGTTTGGTCAGTTCCAGGTGAATTACAACACACCATTAAAGAAAAATGGAACTTTCAGGAATTGAAAGCCATGCTGATATAGGAGGAAGAGAGATTAAAGAAGATGAAAGGACTCCAACAAATCAAAGGCCTCTAGCATCAGGATGTCGCCGTTGTTCGTCGCCATCACCGTCGCAGCTCAGAGAGAGAGAGAGAGAGAGAATCGGAGCTCGGGTTTAGCTGACCAGACCCGGGTCCGTTATCATACCAAACTGTGCCATCATCAAACAGTGAATTAAAAGCCCACATTTTCGTCCACATCGAATTATGCTTATAACTCTTCAATTTTAACAAAATTCTATTTATTTTATTTTATATGCAGATACTATTAAAATTATTTATTTTTTTGAAAATATTTTACTTTTTTTAAATGATTTAATTAATTTGAATTAAAAAAAATTGTAGTTTTGATGGTTGGGACCCATAGACCCATAGATCCATATTATAGATATACCGACAGGGTGGTTTGTCTCCGCCGACGAAATTGACTTAGCAGGTTTCGAGGGGCAACCATGAATCTTATGCCCAAAATTGCCACAACCTGAACAACGTGGAGGAGTCCACGCATATGAGGCCTTGATGATTATCACACCACCTTTCTCATCTTCGACCTCTACACACTCCGGTAAAGGAGAACCCAAGTTTACTTCTACCTTCACTCATGCTTCTCCTACACTTAGAGGATCTAACCGCATGCGTTCGGTGTGAAGCGGTTCACCAATTCCACAGGCTATGTAGCTAATCCCCGGAAGGGAATATAGTTCTGCCGGTATATCTGTAAGCTTCACCCATACAGGAGCAGAAGTGAGAGGCGGTTGACTAAACGAGCTTCGAGCAGACCATTCAACAACTGAGAACATCACATCGGCTACACGCCATATCCCTACTTCGACGACCCATTGTCTAGTAGCAAGATCGGAGATGTATAGCATACAAGAGGAGTCACTGATCCTACGAACATGAAACTTGGATTTGCGTCCCCAAATAGGATTCAAAGACTGGTAGATCTTAGAACCAGAAGGGGCGATCCCATAAAAGTGTGCCACTAGATATCCATCCCAGGTCTTAGATGCTTCGACAAGGATGGAGCTCTGAACTCGAATTCTCGGGTTACCTCCAGCAGAGAGCGTTGGAGTAGCTACTCTACTGAGGTTTCTAGATGAGGAACGGAGACGCTTGGCCCATGGGTACCGGCCAGATGGGAGAGCCGAGACATGTGTCTGCACCGCTGCAGCCGGAGGAGAGGTGGGGACCAACAGAGGACCATGGGAGATGGGGGAGGGCTTACCCAGTGGGGGAAAGTCCAGAGACATAAAGGGGGATGCCTGAAGATGGGGGAGGCCTGAAGATGGGGGAAGCCCGGATCATGCCTTTGAAAACGTGGAAGTTAAGCTGTCGCCGGAGGCAACGATTGTGGCGTGTCGAGGGGGTACGAGACTTACTCGGTGGTCATGAAGGTGAGGTCGCCGCCGCTCTCTGCCGTGCGTAGGTCTCCGGTGGACTTGGTGATGGTTCTCGACGTGGGCCAAAGCATGGTCGGAGGCAAGATCGAGATGCTGAAGCGCGTGATGAGGATTGTGATATCGTCCATGCGCGAGACGGATCGTTTGTCGATCGTCGCGTTCTCGTCGAGCTCGAAGAGGATGTTGCCGTTGCGGAGGATGACAGCGAGCGGTCGGATATCGGCGTGGCGGATCGTGGACGCGCTCTGCGGCGGCTCCGCTGGAGAAGGAATGAGCGTGAACGACGTGCTGAAGAAGGCGGCAAAGGTCATGGAAGATCGCCGGCACAAAAACCTCTCCTCGTCCATCCTCGTCATAACGGGCCGTCACAACGATGAGGGCCATTGGGCCTATCAGGCCCAACTCAAGAGAATCTCTCCCCTCTCTCGTGTCGTCCACGCGCTTAGAAGTCCCGGTACACACGATTTTGCTCTGGGCGTCGGCGCGTGGAACCATGCGCTTCCTGAGGACACTTTCGCCAGGTGTATTAAAGGTTTATTGAGCCTGTCCGTACAGGATCTCACACTAGACCTCGGGTTGGCTTCCGGGCCATATCGGGGAGAGATCACGTCCATTTACTCACTGTCGGGTCCCATATGGGTCCATACAACTGTTACTAGGATGGTTGATTTAGAGTAGATCCATATTGGGTCTATGGGTCTATGCGCAGTCTAAACATGTTTGGATGCACTTTAAGTATGTTTCGACGCACTCTAAACATGGTTGGATGCACTCTGAATGTGTTTGGACGCATTCAGAACGTGTTTTGACACACTGTAAACATGTTTCGACGCACTCTAAACATATTTCGACGCACTCTAAACATGTTTTGACGCACTCTAAAAATGTTTCGATCCAATCAAACAAACTGTAACGAATTGAAAAATGTGATATCGGGGAGAGATCACGTCCGTTTACTCACTGTCGGGACCCATATGGGTCCATACAACTGTTACTAGGATGGTTGATTTAGAGTAGATCCATATTGGGTCTATGGGTCTATGCGCAGTCTAAACATGTTTGGATGCACTTTAAGTATGTTTCGACGCACTCTAAACATGGTTGGATGCACTCTGAATGTGTTTGGACGCACTCTGAACGTGTTTTGACACACTGTAAACATGTTTCGACGCACTCTAAACATATTTCGACGCACTCTAAACATGTTTTGACGCACTCTAAAAATGTTTCGATCCAATCAAACAAACTGTAACGAATTGAAAAATGTGATATCGGGGAGAGATCACGTCCGTTTACTCACTGTCGGGACCCATATGGGTCCATACAACTGTTACTAGGATGGTTGATTTAGAGTAGATCCATATTGGGTCTATGGGTCTCTGCGTAGTCTAAACATGTTTGGATGCACTTTAAATATGTTTCGACGCACTCTAAACATGGTTGGATGCACTCTGAATGTGTTTGGACGCACTCTGAACGTGTTTTGACACACTGTAAACATGTTTCGATGCACTCTAAATATGTTTCGACGCACAAACTAATTTTTGTAGAATCAAATAAATCATTTCTACCCTGCTACACATGGTATTTCTTAAAACCTCTATAATTAACATTGTTACTCTCGTCCGCACATTATTGGATATGGTACGTATATGTGAATCAAGTCACAAGACCTAAGGAATAAGACCGATCCTAAGAGATAAGACCTATTTCTGGAGGGGGCTGATGTGAATCGGGCATAAGACCGATCCTAAGAGGACCTAAACCTAGGTATTTTTCAAGGCTCCGATTCATCCCTGTACCCCCTACCCAGAAGCTTGTCAGGAGCCGCTCTTTGTCCATGCCTCTTGCACCGGCGATCACTCTCCACCCTCCTACGATATCCTACGTTGTCACAATATCAATCCTTTAATCATGCCGGAAAGCACCAAACCTTTTTTTTATCCTGGAGACAAAACAACCAAAACAAAGCTCTTTGTAGTTACTTAAAATGGCAACAACTTTGCCTAAAACACCACCAAAAATTAGTTTTGCATTCCAATACACTTGTATAGAAACTACCACCCAGAAATCAATCTCCCGTACAGGGTAATGTTGATGATGAATATTAGAATATAAAGACAAGACTTATCTACATACGTAAGAGGACAATCCCCAATCCTACAAATGTTCTACATGTCTTCAGGAATTTCGGAGCGGTGAAGTTCCGGAACGAACCAAAAACATTATACTGAGATGCTGAATAAGATCGTGTAGTGTCCGTTTTAGTTTATTGAGATATTTATTGAGATAATAATTACCCCATGGAATAATTACCTCCATACACATGCCCATGAATTTCTATTTCCTCTGTCACTACGTGTATTGTCCATTGAGATGCTGAATAAGAAAGTGTATTGTCCGTTTTTGGTTTTAATTTGTTAATAAATTACAATTATGGATTTCAATGTAACGTCTGTTTTTTATATAGTAGAGTTAACATTTTTACTTTTTTTAATTGTAATAATATATTAATATTTTTCCTTTTTCCCTAGATAACAAATAAATTTTAAATATAAGTGTCATAAAATAAAAATATCAATAATATATCAAACTAAAATCAAAATAGATTTATGTAAAAATTAGTGTTAATCTAATCATATATAATATAAATGGGTAGAAAGTAGTTATAATAATAATCTAGAATTTGTTTAATAGATTTGAAAATATGTTTTTAATATAGACGTGTTTTCTTAGTAGACCAATCAAATGCTTTTTACAACATTATTGGAACATGCCTTTGAAAACGTGGAAGTTAAGTTGTCGCCGGATAACTTAACGGAACTTCATGTTTGCACATGTAATATGGATCTATGGGTTAGAATATTCATGCCCATACCTTGGATCTATGGGTCCAATTGCTCATGCAAGGCGTCTCCGTTCCTCAATGAATGTGGCGATGGTATCAGATTCCACCTCTCAATAAACGTAGTAACACTCACTGAATCCACATTGTAAAGGCTGGTTCATTCACTACCAATGTCAGGAAACAACTATCGTATCCTTAACCATGACTAAATTCAATCACGAATGGCATTAGCTAGAGATTCATATTACAGCCGCAAGAAGCGAGAAAATGCTATTCTTCACAACATAAACTCCCACTTGCAGCATCAACATCCTTCCCCATTTTGTGAAGAATGATAAAGAAAACTCCAGATCCCTAGAATTTCTTGTAATCTCATTGTGATGACATTTTCAGTGAAACCCAGTTTCCTGTTACCAATCAGAAGATGGATAATCCTTAAAAAAACTCACCTTTCCTAAACGCCCATTATAGGGTTAGAGAATCGCAAGTCCAGATTCGAAACTGAAGCTCCAAGCCCAAGACACTAATCCAGATTTTAAGCGAAACTCTAACTTCAACCAAAACCTAACCTAACAAATGGAAGTTTGTCACGCACTGAAACATCAAGAACAAGACTCTAGGCATGATTCAAACAAAATTTTGCAGGAAAATTGAAGGAAAACTTTACCTCAGAACCGCGAAAGACGGCTTCCGACCAATGTAGAATATCTCACCAAAACCAAAGAACATATAATCCGATAAATTTACTATGCAACTCTGACAAGAAAAAGATCTTTTTCTTGCTTCGCAGTCGCCGATAGCTAAAGTATAGGCTTTCAGTCCAGAGACTGAATTCTTCTCTTCGAACTCAGTGGCGAAGTCGAATCGAAGAAAAGATAAAATTAAGGGGAAAATGGGGAGAAATTTCTTAATGTTTGGGCTTATAGTGAGGCCCAACTATTTTATCTAATTACAGTTAGACCCATAATAAAACTTAAATTATGTTTTCTTCCGATTATTTCCTTGTCTAGCTCTAGAGGTGGAGTGTCCCTTTCGGTTCGGTATTCATCCGTGAAATAATATATTCTTTTCTCTAATAATTATTATCTGTTCGATTTAACTCGGTTTTACTATATTAATACCAAATAAGAATCAAAATTTGATATTTTAAATATAAATTCTTACATAATTATTATAATTCGACTTTTTGTTTGGTATTAAACGGATTCGATTCGGTATTTATCGGTTTGATTAGAAATGATTTATTTGATTCTACAAAAATTATACTAAATTGCGCGTTACAGTTGTCTTGTGACTTGATTCACATTTTTCAAATTGTTAAACAGGGTGGCCCGGGTTGGCTTCCGGGCCATATCGGGGAGAGATCACATCCGTTTACTCACTGTCACGGCCCATATGGGTCCATACAACTGTTACTAGGATGGTTGATTTAGAGTAGATCCATATTGGGTCTATGGGTCTATGCGCAGTCTAAACATGTTTGGATGCACTTTAAGTATGTTTCGACGCACTCTAAACATGGTTGGATGCACTCTGAATGTGTTTGGACGCATTCAGAACGTGTTTTGACACACTGTAAACATGTTTCGACGCACTCTAAACATGTTTTGACGCACTCTAAAAATGTTTCGATACACTCTAAACGTGTTTGGACGCACTCTAAACGTATTTGGATGCACTCTAAACGTGTTTGGACAACTCCCGTCTTTGGAAAAGTAACCGTAGAAACATTTTCTACGTCGGCGTGTGTGGCAACATCCTTTTTTGATAACATCATCAACACCGTTCTGAATGTGCCAGGGACAAGTAAAGACAACATCAACTCGAGGAAGGACTTGAAAGATATATGCAAGAGAAAATAGTTGGAGTTGACACGTGATGGTCACGCACCTGTGCCGATATTCAGACTCACAAGACCAGGTAAAACGGTCTTGTTTAAATGGTTAAAAGAAGAGGTTAAATTCCCTGATGGATATGCATCCAAATTGGCGCGATGTGTTGATACTAATTCATTAAAGCTTATGGGAATGAAGAGTCATGATTGCCATATATTCATGCAAAGACTCATTCCTATTGCATTTGCGGAGCTATTGAAACCCAATGTCGACGGAGCATTATGCGGTATCAGCACATTCTTTCGAGATATATGTGCAAGATCTCTGAGAAGAAGTAACCTAGAGGTTTTGAAAGGCAACATTCCTGAGATACTTTGCGCATTGGAAAAGGTATTTCCACCTTCATTTTTTGATGTGATGGAACATTTACCTATTCATTTACCAGATGAAGCGATATACGGTGGTCCAGTACAGTTTAGATGGATGTATCCATTTGAGCGATTTTTTTTCCATCTGAAGAAGAAGGCAAAAAACAAAGCAGCAGTGGAAGGATCTATCGTCAAACAGTATTTGTTAGAGGAGATCTCCTATTTTGAATCTCATATTCAGACGAAGAAAAGGAGGGCTATCAACGAAGACGATAGAAGTTATGTCTACCAATATGATTCATGTTTCGGTCATATTCCCGATAGTTTTCAACCTACTGGACGACTCGGAGGCAAATCTGAAGAATATTGGCTAACTGTACAAGAGTACAATACAATCACATCGCCACATATATACTGTTGAGTCATATCGATTTAATTTTTATGCGCAGATTCGGTAGTCCCACACCGTAGGATTGGGTCCCACACCGTGTTGCATGTGAAATATGGATCTATGGGTCCAATTTTTAACTCTCCATAGCACCACTCCTTTGTGTATATTTTTATAAACTTTTCATTATACTTATGATAGTGTATTATGATTGATCTTGCGATTATGAGCGCAACATGACTATATATATATATAGTTAATTAATTTCTGAGATCGTCTAATTTAGAATATCTCATCTCATAGATTTAGGGTTTCGTTGAAGCCGACATAGAATTTAGAAACGCATTTGGTTGTTGTCCACACTCAATCCTGGCTGAATTTGTACTAATTTGGAGATGCATTCTGTGCAGCTGATATGAACATATATATGTATATATCTTGAATATATATATATATAACCCTCGATAAGTTCCCCCCTTCCCCCCTTTTTTTTGGTTAAAGGTACGATATTCACTTGCCTATGTATACACAAATGTATACAGTCATGGTTTCGAGTTTCTGACTTATGACACTATAAGAAGTGAACAATAGATAAAGGGTCTTGTTCATAAGATTGATTTGTTTGGTATGGCAGGTGAGAGGTTTAAGCTCTAATTGTTATAAAGTTCGATAGAAATGTCAAATTTCCAACCATTAGTATAGTTGAAGAGTATTTTTACATAGTTCACTTAGAAAAAAATCCAAGAAATGTGGTCGGAATAGACATGTTTATCCGCTGTTGACATATTGCAAATTGCAATTGAACGAGAAAATAAAGGAATATTCTCGATTTTCTTTGCATTTTCACAAATGGATATTAATATTCACTACCCATATATAAGAGATATTGTTCTAACAACCATCCTAGTAACAGTTGTATATTAGTATTCAAATTGCCCAAATTGCAATTGAAAAACAGACCTAAGGAATAAGACCGATCCTAAGAGGACCTAAACCTAGGTATTTTTCAAGGCTCTGATTCATCCCTGTACCCCCTACCCAGAAGCTCGTCAGGAGCCGCTCTTTGTCCATGCCTCTCGCACCGGCGATCACTCTCCACCCTCCTACGATATCCTACGTTGTCACAATATCAATCCTTTAATCATGCCGGAAAGCACCAAACCTTTTTTTTTTATCCTGGAGACAAAACAACCAAAAGAAAGCTCTTTGTAGTTACTTAAAATGGCAACAACTTTGCCTAAAACACCACCGAAAATTAGTTTTGCATTCCAATACACTTGTATAGAAACTACCACCCAGAAATCAATCTCCCGTACGAGGTAATGTTGATGCTGAATATTAGAATACAAAGACAAGACTTACCTACATACGTAAGAGGACAATCCCCAATCCTACAAATGTTCTACATGTCTCCAGGAATTTCAGAGCGGTGAAGTTCCGGAGCGAACCAAAAACATTATACTGAGATGCTGAATAAGATCGTGTAGTGTCCGTTTTAGTTTATTGAGATATTTATTGAAATAATAATTACCCCATGGAATAATTACCTCCATACACATGCCCATGAATTTCTATTTCCTCTGTCACTACTACGTGTATTGTCCATTGAGATGCTGAATAAGAAAGTGTATTGTCCGTTTTTGGTTTTAATTTGTTAATAAATTACAATTATGGATTTCAATGTAACGTCTGTTTTTTATATAGTAGAGTTAACATTTTTACTGTTTTTTAATTGTAATAATATATTAATATTTTTCCTTTTTCCCTAGATAACAAATAACTTTTAAATATAAGTGTCATATGTAAAAATTAGTGTTAATCTAATCATATATAATATAAATTCGTCTCATTTTGAAATTAATTAACATTGTTTTTCAATGGATATTAGTATTAATTGCCCATATATAAGAGATACTATTTAGGATCGTTCAATTGCAATTTGGGCAGTGAGAAAGCTATAGGCTCTCGTCGAGCTCGAAGAGGATATTGATCTAGGGCTAAATCACTCTTCAAATCCTACGGTTCACGGCAGGAAGATCTTGTATACCCATTTAGAGCCTATAGCTTTCTCACTGCCCAAATTACAGATATACCGACAGATGACCATTAAAGTTTTAATGCCTCCAAATTGTTATCTCTATATAATTAACATTGTTACTCTCGTCCGCACATTATTGGATATGGTACGGTCTATGATGAGTCAGACTGATCTTCCAAAGTCTTTCTGGGGTTACACCTTAGAAACTGTTGCTTTCATACTGAACAGGAGGCTGATGAAAACGGTTCAGAATACACCATATGAGATATGGACTGGGAAACGTCCCAGTCCCTTTCCAGTGGCTACCGAAGGGGAGAATCTTCAAGCCCAACAGCGTTACCAACTATGCTGGGTGAATTAATCGGATACCCATTAGGATTGTTGAAACTCGCAAAACCCATGGGACCACCGGTTGGGACCGGTTTAAATTGCTGGATCCCATACTTTATGCCATTTCCGCCAAGATGAGAACTGCCTCCAAACAGTAAACGTGTTCGGTGTCAGGCGCAGCAGCAATTTAAAACAGAGGGGGCGCTAGTAACACTTGTAACCCCAAATTGGCAAACATGAGAATTATAAAATTTTCATAATCCATTTATTTATTTGAGAAAAAAATAGAATTATATAGAGATAAGACCTATTTCTGGAGGGGGCTGATGTGAATCGGGCATGTGATGTGAATCGGGCATCTTTGTCCATGCCTCTCGCACCGGCGATCACTCTCCACCCTCCTATGATATCCTACGTTGTCACAATATCAATCCATTAATCATGCCGGAAAGCACCAAACCTTTTTTTTTATCCTGGAGACAAAACAACCAAAACAAAGCTCTTTGTAGTTACTTAAAATGGCAACAACTTTGCCTAAAACACCACCGAAAATTAGTTTTGCATTCCAATACACTTGTATAGAAACTACCACCCAGAAATCAATCTCTCGTACGGGGTAATGTTGATGCTGAATATTAGAATATAAAGACAAGACTTACCTACATACGTAAGAGGACAATCCCCAATCCTACAAATGTTCTACATGTTTCCAGGAATTTCGGAGATCAGAGAAAACGGGCGGGCCGCCTGACGAAATTGACTTAACGTGTTAATCAACTATGAGTATCTGCAATATTAAAACTATGATTTTAGCTATATCACTCTTCAAATCCAGGGTCCACTCTAAATCAACCATCCTAGTAACAGTTGTATAGACCCATAGATCCATATTACAGATATACCGACAGGGTGGTGACTGAACATTCTCCACCAACACTTCTCTCTCTTCCCCGGCGTACATGTCACCGAGTCGGATCGACCCGGATCCGAGCCAAGCTAGTCGACCCGACAGTGAGTAAACGGACGTGATCTCTCCCCGATATGGCCCGGAAGCCAACCCGAGGTCTAGTGTGAGATCTTGTACGGACAGGCTCAATAAACCTTTAATACACCTGGCGAAAGTGTCCTCAGAAAGCGCATGGTTCCACGCGCCGATGCTGCAGAGAAAATCGTGTGTACCGGGACTTCTAAGCGCGTGGACGACACGACGAGAGGGGAGAGATTCTCGTTGAGTTGGGCCTGATAGGCCCAATGGCCCTCATCGCTGTGTCGGCCCGTTATGACGAGGATGGACGAGGAGAGGTTTTTGTGCCGGTATTCTTCCATGACCTTTGCCGCCTTCTTCAGCACGTCGTTCACGCTCATTCCTTCTCCGGCGGAGCTGCCGTAGAGCGCGTCCACGATCCGCCACGCCAATATCTGACCGCTCGCTGTTATCCTCTGCAGCGGCAACATCCTCTTCGAGCTCGCGAGAATGCGACGATCGACAAACGATCCGTCTCGCGCAGGGACGATATCACAATCCTCATCGCGCGCTTCAGCATCTCGATCTTGCCTCCGACCATGCTTTGGCCCACGTCGAGAACCGTCACCAAGTCCACCGGAGACCTACGCGCGGCAGAGAGCGGCGGCGACCTCACCTTCATGACCACCAAGTAAGTCTCGTACCCCCACGACACCGCCACGATCGGTGTCTCCGGCGACAACTTAACTTCCACGTTTTCAAAGGCATGATCCGGGCCTCCCCCATCTTCAGGCCTCCCCCTTTACGTCTCTGGACTTTCCCCCACTGGGTAAGCCCTCCCCCATCTCCCATGGTCCTCTGTTGGTCCCCACCTCTCCTCCGGCTGCAGCGGTGCAGACACATGTCTCGGCTCTCCCATCTGGCCGGTACCCATGGGCCATGCATCTCCGTTCCTCATCTAGAAACCTCAGTAGAGTAGCTACTCCAACGCTCTCTACTGGAGGTAACCCGAGAATTCGAGTTCCGAGCTCCATCCTTGTCGAAGCATCTAAGACCTGGGATGGATATCTGGTGGCACACTTTTATGGGATCGCCCCTTCTGGTTCTAAGATCTACCAGTCTTTGAATCCTATTTGGGGACGCAAATCCAAGTTTCATGTTCGTAGGATCAGTGACTCCTCTTGTATGCTATACATCTCCGATCTTGCTACTAGACAATGGGTCGTCGAAGTAGGGATATGGCGTGTAGCCGATGTGATGTTCTCAGTTGTTGAATGGTCTGCTCGAAGCTCGTTTAGTCAACCGCCTCTCACTTCTGCTTCTGTATGGGTGAAGCTTACAGATATACCGGCAGAACTATATTCCCTTCCGGGGATTAGCTACATAGCCTGTGGAATCGGTGAACCGCTTCACACTGAACGCATGCGGTTAGATCCTCTAAGTGTAGGAGAAGCACGAGTGAAGGTAGAAGTAAACTTGGGTTCTCCTTTACCGGAGTGTGTAGAGGTCGAAGATGAGAAAGGTGGTGTGATAATCATCAAGGCCTCATATGCGTGGACTCCTCCACGTTGTTCAGGTTGTGGCAATTTTGGGCATAAGATTCATGGTTGCCCCTCAAAGCCTGCTAAGTCAATTTCGTCGGCGGAGACAAACCACCCTGTCGGTATATCGGTAATATGGATCTATGGGCGACTGAACATTCGTTTTCAAACCACCCTGTCGGTTCACGGCAGGAAGATCTTGTTTAGACTGCGCATAGACCCATAGACCCAATATGGATCTACTCTAAATCAACCATTCCAGTAACAGTTGTATGGACCCATATGAGATGAACCCATATGATCTTACATAGATCCATATTACATTGTATGGACCCATATGGGTCCCGGCGGAGACAAATCATGTTTACTAGGATGGTTGATCTATGGGTCCAACGCGTGGCAACACGTTGTTAGAACAATATCTCTTATATATGGGCAGTGAATACTAATATCCATTTGTGAAAATGCAAAGAAAATCGAGAATATTCCTTTATTTTCTCGTTCAATTGCAATTTGCAATATGTCAACAGCGGATAAACATGTCTATTCCGACCACATTTCTTGGATTTTTTTCTAAGTGGACTATGTAAAAATAGTCTTCAACTATACTAATGGTTGGAAATTTGACATTTCTATCGAACTTTATAACAATTAGTTTGTGGTTGTGGTAGGGCATTATACTATCGAACTTTATATAACAAATAATTATATTTAATGAATAATGAGAAGTACAATAATCTAGGGAGAATGCTGATAAAAATCTTGAATTTAAATTTATTTAGATAATTAATATCTAAATTTTAATTTTGTTCTCAAAATATATAAATTCTTAAAAAAAACAAATTACGATGTAAACTATTGACAAAATACTGAAAGCACCTAAATCAATATTTTTGATGAAAAATCTAAATTAACGAACATTATCATAAGTAAGTATTAATAACTTCTACCCAACAGGGCGAGTGGTTGAACGATGAGTGCAAAACACTCAGAGGTCAGCGGTTCGATTCCTGGTTGGGGAGAAATATAATTTCTGGTCCTAAATGGTTCCATATATAAAGACTGGTCCCGGGCTTAGGGTGGATGTAGTCGGGCCGAAGGTCCGGGTAACCATCCTGGTTACCAAACCCAACTCTTGCCTCCCCTACACCTACGGGAAACTTCATGTTTAAAAGACAGAAGGTAGATCCATGTAACTCGAGTGTGATCATCAACGATAGTTAGAAAATATCTGTGTTCATCCACAGTAGGTACAAAATAAGGTCCCCAAGTATCTAAGTGTAATAAAGCAAAAGGCTCAGAAGTAATATGTCCATGGGAAACAAAAGACAACCGACGTTGTTTGGCTAGAGGACAGATTGTGCAATCTGTTGAAGCCTTTGTTGTCGGAAGAAATGGAGGGAACTCTGAGTTAAGAGGGGCCTGAACTTTAAAGCTGGATGGGTGTCCTAAGCGGCGATGCCAGACATCTATATTTGTAGTTGGAAGAGCTGTACAGATGGGTTGTGAAGCTGGAAGTGCAGAGGAAGACTGATGCACTTCGAGAATGTATAGGTTGTGTTTCTGGTCACCCTGTCCAATCGTCAAGTCCCGCATAGGGTCCTGAATGACGTACGAATGATGAGAGAAAGTGATAGTATAAGAAGAAGATCGTGTTAGAGCACTAACACTTAACAGATTAAAATGGAAAGATGGGACATAAAGAACAGAGGACAAAACAAGATCAGGAGAAAGGATTACAGTGTCAGACTGTGTAACCGGCAAAATAGTTCCATTTGGTAAGGTTAAGGTCGTGGTTGGGATAGTTTGAACCTCAGAAAATAGTCGTAAATCATAGCAAACGTGATTACTCGCTCCAGAATCTAGAATCCAGAAATGTGTAGGAATGGTCTTATCTGAGAAAAAAATAGAGAAGATAAAGTCTGGAGAAAGAGAGGTTACAGAGGTACCTGGCGAAGGGGTCGAGGGTGAAGCAGAGTCTGATTCCACGGAACCACAGCTTAGATCCTTGAGCTTCGTCTGAAATTGATCAAAGAGAGCCTTGGTTTGTTCCAAGGTAAGAGCCGGGAGAACAGGGGAGGCCTGTAGATGAAGAACTACACCTATCAGATTCCACCTCTCAATAAACGTAGTAACACTCACTGAATCCACATTGTAAAGGCTGGTTCATTCACTACCAATGTCAGGAAACAACTATCATATCCTTAACCATGACTAAATTCAATCACGAATGGCATTAGCTAGAGATTCATATTACAGCCGCAAGAAGCGAGAAAATGCTATTCTTCACAACAGGAACTCCCACTTGCAGCATCAACATCCTTCACCATTTGGTGAAGAATGATAAAGAAAACTCCAGATCCCTAGAATTTCTTGTAATCTCATTGTGATGACATTTTCAGTGAAATCCAATTTCCTGTTACCAATCAGAAGATGGATAATCCTTAAAAAAACTCACCTTTCCTAAACGCCCATTATAGGGTTAGAGAATCGCAAGTCCAGATTCGAAACTGAAGCTCCAAGCCCAAGACACTAATCCAGATTTTAAGCGAAACTCTAACTTCAACCAAAACCTAACCTAACAAATGGAAGTTTGTCGCGCACTGAAACATCAAGAATAGGACTCTAGGCGTGATTCAAACAAAATTTTGCAGGAAAATTGAAGGAAAACTTTACCTCAGAACTGCGAAAGGCGGCTTCCGACCAATGTAGAATATCTCACCAAAACCAAAGAACATATAATCCGATAAATTTACTATGCAACTCTGACAAGAAAAAGATCTTTTTCTTGCTTCGCAGTCGCCGATAGCTAAAGTATAGGCTTCCGGTCCAGAGACTGAATTCTTCTCTTCGAACTCAGTGGCGAAGTCGAATCGAAGAAAAGATAAAATTAAGGGGAAAATGGGGAGAAATTTCTTAATGTTTGGGCTTATAGTGAGGCCCAACTATTTTATCTAATTACAGTTAGACCCATAATAAAACTTAAATTATGTTTTCTTCCGATTATTTCCTTGTCTAGCTCTAGAAGTGGAGTGTCCCTTTCGGTTCGGTATTCATCCGTGAAATAATATATTCTTTTCTCTAATAATTATTATATGTTCGATTTAACTCGGTTTTACTATATTAATACCAAATAAGAATCAAAATTTGATATTTTACATATAAATTCTTACATAATTTTTATAATTCGATATTTTGTTTGGTATTAAACGGATTCGATTCGGTATTTATCGGTTTGATTAGAAATGATTTATTTGATTCTACAAAAATTATACTAAATTATTGAGTTAACATTGTTACTCGATGGAGACAACTGTAATATGGATCTATGGTTACAAACGAGCTGATCCGACCCAATATTTTTAAGGTTCATTTGGAAACGAATCTAAAGAGTTAGTACATCATAACTCGCGGCTCGTCAAATTAGTCCGCTAGAATCATGAGATGATGTGTTTTTAAAAAAAATTATCGATTTTTTTATAATTTTATAGAAATTAATATTTATTTTAATTATTTATTGATTATATATGTATAATTGTTTTATAAACTTAAAGGTGATACTTAAATATTAAGCTTTGTATTAAAATATCATTTTACTTGACATTTTATATAAAATAAAAATGTGATATTTTGTCCAATCAAGCAAACTGTAACGAATTGAAAAATGTGATATTTTTTCCGATATGAACCGTATAAAATTCCAGAATGATATTATTAACCGAATTTTCTAGAACCGAACGAAATTTCAAAAACACCGAATCAAATCGAATATTATATAATAACGGATTGGTAACTATGTTGTAAAACCAAAAGAACCGAACCAAAACATTTCCCAACCAAACCTCAATCAAAATTTTGAAACGAAATTCGTTGAAAATCCGTTGGAATTTATTCAAAAAAAAGTTTCAACTAAATTCCGTTGGAAATTTTTCAATAAAAAAAACCCAACCGAAACCGTATGGAAATCCATTGAAAATTCCAACCGAAATTCGTTGAAAATTTGAACCAAAATCCGTTGAAGATTCTAACGGATATACGTTGAAAACGTCGTTGAAAATTTTCAACGGAATTTTTCAATTGAATCGGTTGGAATGTTCGTTGGAAATTTTCAATAAAATTTTTCAATGGATATCTGCTGGAAATTTTAACGGAAGTTATCGTTGAAATGCCATTGAAATCCGTTGAAAAATTTCCAACAGACGAATCCGTTGGGAATTGTATAATTTTTTGTAGTGTAGATGAGAAGTTTGGCTTTTTTAAAGTAAGTTGTCTATATTTTACTTTATAAATATTTTATTTTTATTACTTTTGATTTATATTAATTTTTTTCTTTTTTATATTGCACTACACTTTACTTTGTTGGTAAATAAGGATTAATTTCTACATATATGATATGATCTTTAAAGCATAATTTAAAGTTTTGATCATATTTGTAGAATTTTAAAATTATTATGTTGAATTTCTTTACGGTTACATCAGGTTCAAAACTTTTATTTTGTTGTCTAAAATTATTACGTTGGATTTCGTTATTTTTATACTATATGAATTACAAGTATTTATGAACCGTTACAAACCGTCTTTATTTCGATTCTTATTTGGTATTTATTTATTAGTACCGTACCATCACGAACCGAATAATACATGGTACTAATTTGATACAAATTTTATAATACTAAATAAACCGTTTCCGAACCAAATCCTGAAACACCCATCCCTAAACCATGGACGAAAATTATAAAATGGTCTAAGGCCCATTAAACTCAGAAATCTATATATATTAAAAGTTGTGTTTAAAGGATTGTGGTGAGGATACATCAACATCCACATCAATATCTATGTGGTATTTATTTTTAATTTTAATTTAAAAATGACTATAAGATTTCAATTGGCATAAAATGAAAAGTATAAAATTTTTAGGAGATAATCTGATTATAGATGAGTTTTTAAGATAAAAAATAATTATAAAATTTAAATTATCATAATATGTAAAGTACAAGGTTTTTTCGACATAATCTAAAAGTACAGAATTTTTTAGGATAAAAAATAAGTATAGGGTTTAAATTATCATAATATGCAAAGTACATGATTTTTTTTGGAGATAGTCTAAAAGTACATAGTTTTTTAGGATAAAAAAGTATAGGACTTAAATTGAGACAAAATAAAAATATAAAGTTTTTTTTGGCCATTTACCCTTATATTCTATATGAATATAAGGTCCGAAATTTAAAACGTTGTCCAAACACGTTTACACATTATTTTTAAGGTTCAACCATGAGCAATCCTATGAAGAACTTATTCTAATGTGAGCCGGGCCTGTAGACGAATGCTAATGTGAGCCAAATCCAAAAAGAAGTCAAGTATTTCTTATGCAAGAAGAGTGGACACATTAAGAAAGACTACAAGAAAATAAAGGAATGGTTCGAGAGTAATGGCCAACATAAAATTTTTGTTTGCTTTGAATCGAACATTATTGAAATACCTAATAGTACATGGTAGTTAGATTCTGGTGCAACAACTCATGTTTCTCATATCAAACATGGATTTCATATGATCTAACCCATAGATCCATATTACATATGTGTAAACATGAAGTTCGCAATTTGGGCAGTATCTTTTATATATGCTATCTAAGAAGCATATTTTAAAATGTGTGAGAACGAATGAGATCCTAAATTTAGGAGAGCGAAATAACGAATTTATTTGTTATTAAAATAATTCATATCTATTCATTGTGATAATTATAATTTGTATAAATTTTGTATCTAATTACACGTTTTGATATGATTTTTACTATTTTAAAAAATAAAAGATCGCAGTACTTCAAGAGATTGGATGACAACAAAACAAGTGTGGTCCCCACATATCCACGTGTCACTTGCTCCAACCCAGATAACAAATAATAATTATCAAATCAAATTTGATGAAAAATTGAATAATTATAATTTTTATAAAACCGAATCCGAATAGAACCGAACCAAATAAAAAAAGAACTAATAAAATCCTACCGAATCCGAATAAAATATAATTAAATTGAATAGAATCGGGTTTAATATAAAACTAAATGATTATAACTTTTTGAAAACCGAAATAACCGAACCGGGAAAACCGCCATCAAATAAGTTGATGACAAATGGGTTATGATGGTGGTCGGTCTGCCCCTTTGTTAAACTTAGAACACAAGACACGACCTCAATTGGTTGGGCCAATCAATCACAATGCATGATTGAGAGGCTGTAACATTTCCCACCTTTTGGTTATCTTTTAATTTGAGTTTCTGCGTTTTTTTTTATTATAAAAAACTATCATAATTTTGTTTTTTCAATGGTTTAAATTGTCTAGATTTGGGGTTATCATAAAAATAACATTTTATTTTATATTAAAATTAATTTAAGTTTAAAATTTTACGTAAATTTAAATATAATTATATATTATACAATCCAATTTGATTTTTTTTCATTAAAAACCAAACTTGCAATCTTGCAAGTAACCCATCAGGCACAATTCGTAATAGCCTAAGCAACGACAGGCAATGACCAACTCTTGTGAAATTGCAAGGTAGGCTACCGGTACCATGGATATATATTATTCATATTAAAATTTGAATATGGTTTTATTCGAATATATTATATATTATTGGGATAAATACAAAAATATTGCCCCAATCAAAATATTTTCCCATAGTACGTACCCAACGACCTATTAATGAAATAATACACCAAATTAAACATTCTGGTGCCCAAAAGGGGAAAAAAACTAGATAATCTCTCTATAAATACATCAAAACGGTAATAAATAACCGACATATACAATAATAATTAATAACAACGATAAATGTTAGCATAAAATGCTAGAATAATTTTGGATATACATAAATATTTCCAATCTTGTAATTTATATATTTGTTTTACCGCTGCCATGTAAAAAAGATTGTTAGTATATATGTCACTTTTATTTATTAATTACATTGTTTTCAAATATAAAATAGTAAATAAATCGATATGTACAACTAAAAGGGTATGCGTAGTATATCATTTAGGGTTTTATATATTTGATGCTTCTTTTTCACTAATAGTTATTAATTAACTTAGCCGTACATGAAATTAACTATTTAGGCGTAATTAATAGTATATAATGACGTAAAAAAATATTCAAACTTAATTATAAAAGTAATTACTATCTTTTACATGCCATTTGTGAACGATTCCTATCACATAATGAAATCAAATACATTATTAGCAATTAAAAGCTCAATATTTATTTAGAAACACGTCGTTTTTACCGTTTTCTGCATTTGGAAAAAATTCGTATTACTTTTAGTTGTCGGCAATTTATTTTCTTTTCCTAATAATGACAAGATAAATAACCACCAACAGAGGAAAAAACAAAAATAAAGATGGTAAAAAATAAAAAATATTTTTTGACGGAAACATTATTCAAATGTGAGATTTTAAGACCCAAATAGAATAACTTATCTATAAAAAAAAAATGTTAAATCAAGAATGAAATTCTGTGCTGGGAAAAGTTGTCAATTTGAGATATTCAAGTCCGGTACCGTTCAAGAATCAAACCGGTTTACTAAACCGACCGGTTAAGAGTAGAGTGAGGATCTCGATATGAACCGCAGAAGTGTCGGTGGCTGA